TATATATATATTCTTGTGTAAATATAAAATCTATGTCTTTGTATGCTGTAGCATTACACGGCACCCTTCACTGGAAACACCTGAATTCTGTCGACTTCTGGTCATATAGTTTAGCGTTTTATGCAAATAAGTGCAGAAGATGTATGCCAGATTAAAAAAATAAAGCCATTTAATGATGAGGCTGTATCCCTAAGTCAAAAGTTCTTGTGACCCACCTTTTTGTTTTAATTTGATAGCTAATGCAGTGTTTTGTTTTTTTGCATTTGTTTCATTGAGTAGTGTAGATATATTTTTAAATTGCCTTTTCATGTTTCTTTTTTTTTAAAGTTATATTTAATATCTATATTTCAGGTGCAGAAACGAATGACCCTTAAGTCTCTGATTCGTGCTTTGTTAACAATGCCATCTCACTACCGTTATTTGTGTGTGAGTCATCTAATTGGCTGGACGGCATTCCTTTCCAACATGCTATTCTTTACAGATTACATGGGGCAGGTAAGGTTCAGTATTGTCAAAAGTTCCCACAAATTTTCCATGAGCCGTACCAACATGACAGAATTCAAGGTACAATTTAATTTAGATTTACTGGTTCATTAAAGGGGACCATTCACTTAAATGATACACAGATGTTAGCCCGCTCTAGCTACCGATACATTTATGCTGCATCAAAAACACCAGACTTGTTAAAGTTTCTAAACAGGAATTTGTCTGTGCTTCTGCACCAATAGATATACAAAATAGATTGTGTTAGCAGGGGGCAGCTATCCAGAGGTATGTGGCAAATGAAAATCCATATGAAGATGGCAGAATTGGCACAAGAGGGCTACCCTAACATAGGACTCCCTCTCCCTGCCAGATGCTGAAGGGCACTAATCAAATGGTTACAGTATAACTGCTGGTTCACTTATTATAGGTACTTTGTGTCCTTATTTACATTTAATTTAAATCATTAATTTAGTATACTTTGTGTCTTCAACCTTGATAAATGGTCCCTCTCAAATGACCCTCTCACAGCTTAAAAAAAAATCAGGTAAATTCACAGAAAATTATTTTAATACATACTTGCAGTGTTTCCAGTTCCATTAAATTTTTAGTAGGTGAATTTTTAGGTGAAAATTTTTATATTCACCTGCAATGTGCCGTTGAGCTTGCTAAACAATGTGACTACTCCAGAAAAAGTATTTTCCCTAGGACAACCTCATCCGTCCATGCATGCACTCAATAGCCCACTCTGTGAGTGTCTTCATACTCTGTTGTGACCCAATTACCCCCCAACTTAAATGTTTGTGAAGCTGCCATGAAGGGAGTGAAAGGGAATACTATAGAGTAGGGATGCACCGATACCACTTTTTTAAGGCCGAGTACCGATACTTTTTTCCAAGTACCAATTACCGATACTTTTTCTTAAAGGGACAGGTCACATTTTTTCTAAAGCAATACAAAACCATGATTTTAGGTCAGTTTCTTAATATTATGAAGAACATGAACACTCTGTAGTGTGGCACAGCTATATCCAATTCTGCATACCTGGCTTTATATTATACGAACTTTATAATATAAAGCCAGGTATGCAGAATTGGATACAGCTGTTCCACACTATACAATAATACACTGTTCTGGACATTATAGAACTAAGAATAGAACATTAAAATAAAACTTTTTTTTTTCTTCTAATACTCACCTGATTCCTGGATCCACCAACAAGCACCGCCTCCCGTCTCCCATGCTGTTAGAAGTTGCATACAGCGTGTGCTGGTTACCACTTAAAACGGCGAGCGCTGTGTGCAGCTTCTGGGAAGATACGCTATTAGCATAGCGATGAAGCCGGCTGCGCATTTTGCATCACTCCCGCTACGCTAATAGCGTATCTTCTTAGATGCTGCACACTGCGCATGCCTGTTTAAGTTGTAATATATTGGAGTATTTGCACGAGTACGAGTACTCATGCAAATACTCGGTATCGCCGCCGATACCGATGCTTGTATCGGTGCATCCCTACTATAGAGCACATGTGTCAAACACTGGACATGTGCACCAGCAAAAAATTTGTTTAGTTCTGTTTTGATTCGGATTTTGCATTATTTTGTTTTTCGGATTCGGGTCCGAAATTTAAATTAGTTTCGGAATTCAGATGAAATTCATTACCTGTAGTCCTGTCGAAATTTCGTTTTTTGGAAGAAATTCCATTTTTTTAGCGGTAGTCCGGTCGAAATTTCCTTTTTGGACGAAATTTCGTTGCAGCAAAATGACAGGGTACCCTCCGCATTGGGATGGTGTCTCCATGCCGATGGGGACAAGGGCCTCTTCCCTACAAGCAAGGGGGCTTATTTGCATGGGGGCACCCAGATGCCGCCCCCCCCTTGTGAATGCCGGGCCAGTGCTCGGATCAAGGGTCTGGTAGGACTGTTAAGGAGGACCCCACCGTTTTCCCCCATTTTTGGGGGCTGGGGTTCCCCCTTAAAATTCCTACCAGACCTAAAGGGTCTGGTAGGGATTTTGGGGGAACCCCACGCACTTTTTTTGTGTTTTTAACTTGGGGGGGTCCCTCATCTTACATGCATACATATGAGGACCAATTTATACAGGAGCCAATTAACCTACCAGCATGTATTTGGAGTGTGGGAGGAATCCGGAGTACCCGGAGGAAACCCACACAAGTACAAGAACATGCAAACTCCTTGCAGATAAGGTAAGGGATATACCTGGCTGACCAATGGCTTGTGTGCCCATGTCCAAATCCCTGTGTATGCAGCAGTGTAAACCAATTGTATCAGAATTACTACGGATCCTGTGAACTTCCCAGAAATTAGTTTTACGGTACCTACAAAAATTCTGTGTTTTTCAGGTCAAGACACTTTCCCAAAAGTACAGAAAATACTTGCTAATTTTGCCAAAAGTTGCAGAGTTACCATAACTAGTCTCTGAATGAGTAAATTTTCCCGACGTTATTTTTCAGATTGTTTACCATGGAAACCCATATGCACCTCACAACTCTACTTCATACCTCCTCTACGAGCGGGGGGTGGAGATTGGCTGCTGGGGCATGTGCATCAATGCCATCTCCTCCTCTTTATACTCTTGTAAGTATTTCACAACAATTTTCTATATGCCACTTTGAACCATTGTACCTACAGATTTAAAAAAAGACCCCCCAAAGAAGCTGATGAAGCACAGATCTGCTTTACCAACTTCTTCACTGGCTGTAGCAGCCAGAGCAATGACAGGTGGAATGAGCTGCCGAGCCAGTCCCAGGCCCGCAGAGGGGACAGTGGAGCTTGCGATAGCCGGAAACGGCGGAGGAGGGGGGCAGCGCTGAAGGAGGGGGTGGGGGCGCACAATGCTGGGCACATACAAGTGATGGGACGGATATAGAGCCACCGAACACTTGTGTATGTATCAGCCATTACTGGCTGTTTACAAGGGTCATTGTTTTCTGCTCATGCGCGCGCACAGAAAAAAAACGATTTTTACGGCACCCCGCTAGGAGCTTGCCGTCCGTTTATTTACAACGGGTGGACGGCAAGTAGTTAAACAAACTCTGTTTTACATTTGTCTGCTTTACAATGGAAGTGATTCCAGTGGCTCAGCTGCCCCAGGGCTGGTACAGTGCCTGCCCTTCCCCCACCCGATATCCCCGCCTTGCTTCTCGGACTAGGCTGCCCCTCCTACAGATCCTGTGGCATCTCGGGTGTTGGAGGGAAGCTGGGGAGGAGACAAGCAAACATTTGTTCGCTGATCTACCCCCTCCCTGTGATTTGCACTCCAAGAACTTTTGGAGTAGAAAGGTGATACTAGGGTACTTGAGTACCTGTCACCATCAATATGCTATCACAAATAAGTATGTAACGATAATAAAAATGATTACATTGTTTTGTTTTTTTAAATTACCCCGCCCCCACGGACACACAAGTATTTACATAAATGTGCGTCAACATACGAAAACTATGATTGTGCTACACATGTTGGGTTTTGCTGTGTATGCCAGAATGAGATCAATAATTCTAGTACCAATTGTCACAGATCTCTCTAAATTGATGACCTGTATAGGCGTTTGTCACCTATGGACAAATTGGTGTACTGTATTTTGTTGCGGTTTTACGGTCGCACGCAATTTTTAACTTGGGCATGTTTGGTATCAACTTATTGTAACTATCTTTTTATATTTTATCAAAAATGGTTATTGTGTTTTGGGACACTAACATTTTTGGGTTTGATAGAGTTGCCACCATTTTATTCTACAGGGTCTTGGCTTTCAGAAACTATATAATGTTTTGGGGGCCTAAAATGTGGATTATAACCTGTGCAAAAAACGAAAAAAAGGCCTTGGCAGCGAAAGGGTTGAAAGATGGCGATGATGCAATTAAATTGATAAATGCCCCCCATTGTCTTTTTTGAGCTCTAAAATACTATGCATGTTGTGCCAACCCTGCCTGCTTTGTTTTGTATGGATTACAAAGCACACAGCCCTTTCCTCATCTCCCCAGCCTTTCTTATCTCCATAACCCCATCTTGTGCACTGGAAGTTGTCAGATCACATCCATGCTGTTATATTTTTTTTGTCCAGCTTGCAGGCTGAATTAGAAAAAATATATAACTTTTTGTATATCCAGCTTAACACCTACAGTCAGGCATGCAGAGATTCAGAACTGATGAACAAAGTTCAATGTCCTTCAATATCCATTGCTGTCCTTGAATTTTTAATTGAGTCTTTCTTCAGTCCATTACAGTGAACACATCCTATAGAACACACTCTTTGATCTTGACTCCGAATGAAAGAAAGCTTTTAATCTTCACCAGAGCAATGACCCATCTTGACTGGAGATGGGACTTGATGGATACTGTGCTGAGTTTACTTGACATGAACCTACAGTATGGTTTCCAGAACAAGCCCAGCTCACATTGTGTCAACGCTGATAGAAAATCCACGGCAAACTGCCCCACCATAAAGAGGCTTTAAAGTGACTCCCTTGAATGTAAATCGATCAGGGTTGTGTTTCTGATACTACATTTGAAAAAAAAAAAAAGAATGCTGCCATTGTTATGTATCCAGTATTTAGTACATTTAAATGAAAGGACCTCTGTCACAAAGCATCATGGTACTTGTAGTTCCAGCTGGAGTACTAGGGTTGCCTACAGCTGCTTTCTTCTCTGCACAAAGGAGTTAGCCAATAAGCAGCTCAGCTTTATCACCTATAGGTGTGGCTTACTGTGAGCAAGAGATTTAGGGCCCGCTCACACCAATGTCGTGTTAATCGCACAATTCCATGTGGTTACTGTACAGTATCATTTGAATGGCACCCCAAAAACACTTCCTGGCCCCGATTTGCTTCACTGCGCCACAACACTTGGTACTGCAATACCGTGCATTGCATTGCGGTTGGAAGAAGCAATGTACGACCTGTGAACCATGGTAGGTGCGTTGTGCGGTACTGTGCTTTAATCGCATGGTTCTCTGCAATTAATGGATAGTATTGGTGTGATCAGTCCCTTTTAAAGTTACAACAATGCGGTATTCTTCTTCCAAAGTTCAACTGCATTAAACAAGACAATTTATAGATCTTAATCTCAAAGCAGATCAATAATGCGGGGCTACAGGAGGTTGAGTGAGGCCTTAATTCCTAACCGCAAGGCTCCCCTAGAGTTAACTTCCTGTGAGGGTGCTGTCATAGCAGATGCGGTACGCTGAATTGCACCAGGCAGGTCACTAAACTGCCATTGATGTCCTTTCCTTGGATTCCGGGCCAGCTGAAACGGCATTTGTGACCATTCCTATACCGTTCTTTCTTGCCAGGAACCTGTCACTGCCACTAGACTTACCTCTACTTCACCAATGGGTCACTGTCCTTACCTGGAACTTCCCACTCTGCCGGTGCTTTCAAAATGACAGTTGGGGCTTTATAGGTCTGCTTTGCCTCAAAGATGGCTGCCAAAATCTCGAAAAGCGAACTCTGTGTTCAATAAGACACAGGCTCTCCCATGAGGGAGTCCATGGCAGAGAACACATTGGTCCTAAGCTTTACTCACCCTTTAGCGCCCAGTAGAAAACAGCAGTCATGTGATCGTTTTGTTTACCACTGAATCAGGAAGTGATTTATTGATCCTGTGATCACTATCACTCCCAGCCGATCAGCTGAGCTGATCCCTGCTACACACTGATCCTTCCCATTTACAGAAAGCAAATTCCCCTTTGCTGCGGCTTTTATAAGGGCAGTTGCTTTTGATTTGCTTTTCTTCTCATACAAGTCATAGGGAATGCAAATACTGCTTGATAACACCCTGGTTGCTGACTGGCCCTGCCTCCTCCATCTGGCCTGGCCTCTTCCTTCACTGTTGCTGGGCCCCACCCCCTCCTCGGCTGCCAACGCCGAGCCCCGTCCTCCTGCACCGCAGCTGCTGGCTATCACTGACTCAGCAGCGGCTGTGGGGCGGAACGCGCCACTGCACAGATCACTGGCAGGTTGTCACTGATCTGGACAGCATCGCGTTCCTTCTCACAGCCACCAGTGACCACCAGCGATGCCACAGCCACCCAGGCGACCCACACGGCATCAGGGGGACCCCTTTTGTTCCTCGCCTTGGGCGCTATGACGATAGTTCCGCCACTGGATCCGAAACTAAACACATTTTATGTGGGGTTACATGTCTAGTAATAAGCATATATGTCTGATTTTATGTACAAATTATCCATTTAAATGATTAATCTTTCACATGTATCGCTCAATAAGCACTCACTTAATAAGCACTCAAAAGTGTCTACAAACATATTCCATGTAAAAAAAAAAATGCAATACTTTAAAAAGCTGAAAAACTTTTTTTTTTCTTTTCTTCAGATCTCCAGAAAGCACTTCTCCCCTATATTGGGCTAAAGGGTCTGTATTTTGTTGGATATTTGCTCTTTGGATTAGGAACTGGCTTTATCGGGCTGTTCCCCAATGTTTACTCCACGTTGGTCTTGTGTTCTCTCTTCGGTGTAATGTCAAGTACCCTTTACACTGTTCCTTTCAACCTCATCTCTGAGTACCATCGAGAAGAAGAGGTGAGTTTTTTTATTTATTTACATATTGGATAAAATGAGGAAAGGTTAGATCCTTTGTTTGCCAAGTTTGTATTGTCTCTGTCTGTTAAAGACATTTTCTGATGTGCCACAAAGACAGGAAGACGAGAATCTCTATAATGGGGACAAAGGCCTTTCTTAGGAAAGTGGACAATTAAATTGGCACAGTAAAGACAGAGTGATTTACAGAAGGCTGGTCCATGGGAAGGCACAGGACCAGGCCTGTCGCCATGTAGTCGCTGTGGATATGTCAGCTTCCCCTAAGGGGGGGAAGCAAAGAAGGACAGAAGCAGCACTATCTGTTGGGACTACTCGCATCACTGTAGGATGCAGTACTCTGGGCAATACCTCTCCACTGGCTCTGGGCTACACCTCGACTGACCTCCTCTCTGCTATCTGTTGGTAACTATTCCTGTGTGATTGAACAAGTAATCTACCGTCATCAGTGAATGGGATGATTGAAGCCTGTATTTTATATTGTACATAAGAAGAAGATGTGTATGTATAAGTTACAAAAGGCTCTGTGTGTGGACTGCTCTTTCCCCTAACCTCTAAGATGGGAGTTTCTCCTGGAAGCGAACTTGTGGTGGGCTGTACTGCTGCTGTAACGATGTAAAGGAATGTATGTGGGGAGAGATCACGGCAATACTAGTCAGGCCAGGCACAGGTTGCGCTCAGAGGTGGGCTCCGCCATGAAGGGGCGATGAGCTTGGATTCCGCCTGAGGCCTTGAGTATAGGGTTGCCACCCGTCCGGTTTTCAACCGGACAGTCCGGTTTTGGTGTGTTGTGTACGGATGCCCTGCCAGTGGGCACCCGGACACATCACACTCCGTGGCCGTGCCGACACTGGCACTTTAAATTTTCTGACAGGTGCGGCTGCTGAGGTCCTTGTCAAGCCCGATCTGAGCAGCCGCACCGCCGGAACTTCCTCTTCCTCCCTTCTTCTTATCCCTCTTAGAAAGCAGCTACTGCTGCTGCTCTCCCTTGTCAGCTCTGCCGCTGCAAGGGTAAACAAAAAAAAAACATTTCTCCCTGCCCGATTAACTTACGGGCTCCTCTGCCTCATCAGCGGTCACATGTGCCTTTCTCCTCCCTCCTCAGCTGCTATTGGCTGGGAGGGAGAGTGCAGCACCGCCATTGGCTGCCTGTGAATCTTAGGAGAGCTGGACAGGACCTGCAGAGAAGGCAGCTTGGGGCTTTACATGGTGGAAATATCGATC